AAGGAAAAGTTGTACTCACAGGAGATCATCTTGTTGTTTTTGGACTTGCTGAATTTTGTTCTGATTACTTTATACAAAAATTGTCTACTACTCTTGCGTTGTTTCTAAGTACTGCTTCTCTGCTTCTGATCCAATGTTCAGATGTCGCTTGATCTTCCAAAAAACGTCAACGTATCTATAAAAGGTAGCTGTGCTTGCTTCATCAAAAGCATTGGAGAATCGGGTACCTTCTTCATAGGTTCCACACATGGTATCTAGTTCTACACACCACACAACCTTAAATACTGAATCCAACGCTGACTTCATGAATAAGCCCTACATGCCAACGACCAGCAAGGTAAGACTTGAGCCTCTCTTGTTTCAGTGGTTGGAAACAAAAACACTATATTATAATTTGCATATAGAAAAGGGAATGTTAATATCCACACTAGTGGAGGTTAGCACTCTCCACCTTGGTTCTTCAACTTTTATTTTTAACAGAGAATTAGTAGTATAGGATATTAAATTTTATACCAAGTAGCATGAGATGCCCAATAGGATATTCAAGTGGGTTGGTTCTTTCACCCCCCAACAATTAGCTTTTGGGGTAGAGTTAAGTATCTCACTTAGGTACCCATCAATTTCACTTAATTTCTTACTTGCAGCTCAACAGTGTTGTTTGAAATTGCAGCTTCTGAGACTATCCCTCCCTGCAAGCTTTCTTGCGTTGGTTCTAAACACTGAACTGCTGAAGTCTTTCAATAACCTGGTGGAGAATTGGTAGCTTGCTGCCTTCCTCTGATGTTTCCACTTCACTCCATCCACTGTGAATATTCCATCACCCAGAAGATCACTCAAAATACTATGTTGATAGGAAACCCTGCAATAACAGATCGAAACCTTTTGATTAACAGACATTCATTTGATAACATTGTTCCATCATTATTTTTTTTTTTTGCCTGAAGTCCATCATTCTTTATGGGGGTGTTTAGATGGAAACCAAACCATGGTTTCAGAAGTGCTTTTAACGGTTTACGAAGTAAATATGTGGAGAAATTTGTCTCGTTTTGCGGAAAAGTGCTTCTGAGAAACACTTTTAAGGGTTGCCAAACACCCTCTATATCTCAATCGAGATACTGTAAGATTGCTTAGATGTCCTAACGTTGTTTAGGTGTTTGCTATTAGGTTGCAATGAAGCATAATGTGCACATCAAGAAAGATGCAATTCAACTTTCAAGGATTTATAGCAAACCACAAAGAAATTCTTCATATCCGCGCACATATCTGGGCCAACTTCTTACAACTTAACCCAAAACAGAGCAGTTTTTCAATGTCTAACTCAGCCTTGAGTTTTCACCACACAATTTTTTGAGCTCCTAGAATAGCACAAGAGAAAGATAGATCATTTAGTTCAAGAAATGAAATACCTTGCCGTAGTTTGCAAAGTTTCCAGAGAGAAAGTGCTCAATATTAACTGGATCTGCAGTATAAACCTCAGCTCTCAAGAAGCCAAGCATCCTGTAAGTTTTCCTCTTTCTTGTGAGCTCAGTGATGAAATCCAGCAGCCTGTGATAGTTGAAAAGATGGTCCACACAGTGCCAGCAAGTGGGTGGTATCTTCTTCTCTTGTTGGTTCTGCCATGGATTTTGATTGCAACAGCAGCGAAACACAGAGTCACCAATGCTAAAACCAGAGGGCTCATACCAAATAGATAATCCATCACAGAAATGAGGCTGCCAAGTTACAGAGACCAAGTTACTATTTCATACTCCTCCGGTCCTAATTATAAGACCCAATTGACTTATTTGAGGAGATTAAGGAAGTAAGTTAAGTTGGTTATTTATAATAAATAAGTGTTGTTATTCCTAAAATATCCTTGCTAATTAAGTATATTGACTAAAACTATCATTATTAGAAGGATTATCCTGGAAAAAAATACATAAATATAAGAGAGAAAATGGATTGGGTTTTATAATTAGGACCAAATAAAAAGTCAAATTGGGTCTTATAATAAGGACCGGAGGAGTATTTCAGTAGCATTATCTGGCATCTTCATGGGACCACATTGTGGCCTTCAACTTCAAGGTAGGTTTGACACCTAACGACCAAATCAAACGTGCGAATCTAACCACCCCCCCCCCCAAATGAAAAAATGAAAATGCTAGAAGAATTTACCTAAATATTATATTGTACAGAAAGCGTTCACCTAAAAAACAATTTTCATTCCTTATAACAGATGTGACATTTAATTTTTTTGGTTAAAAAGTGAAATCATTAACAATTTCAGTTTTGTCTCCTTATATATTACTTCCTCCGGTACACTACAAAATGTTTCTTATATTTAGGACCGGAGGAGTATATTCTAAATTGCACCTGATGAACAAAAACTTTGCCTCCTCATTCATCCAAAAGAAAAATATACTAACTCCTATTTTTAATGTAAAAACTAGTTTAACTTTTAATTTAGTTATAAATATAAGATCTCAATCTATTTTTTTTTTCATATTTATTTTTTTTTAAGTAGTTCTTTTATTAGTTGCACGTATTAAAGATTATATCAAATGATAGTTCTAATTAATACACATGATTAGTAGAAGTATTTTAGGAAAAACAACGCTAACTTAATAAATTTTCTCATTCTACTCAAATTAGTTAACTAACTCTTATATTAAGGATAAGAGGTAGTATGAGTATTTCATTATTGATGAATTAATTTTCTGGGGAGGAAATCACGCGAGAATATTATTGTGAAGAATCTCACCGGCAGACAAAACTGAAATCGTTCGAAATATGAGCAATTTCGCTTTTTAATTGAAAATAATAATTGCCACATTGATTAGGTTTGACAAGGAATGTATTCATAGAAATCTTAATTAAATTCTTCACTTATTCAGACACTAATCAATTTTTAGTATAGCAGTGAATACTTCCTAAAATATAATATTTCTGTATATTTTTCACCGTTTATACTTCTACTATATCAATTAAAAAAAAAGCTTAAATCAGGAACCAAAAAATAGTCTTAGGACCCGTTTGGTCAATGCATTGCAGTGCAATGGAAATGTAATGTAATATTAGTCACAAGGATACTGTCTGGTATGTTTTCTAAGACGGTGTAACGAGTTATTTTTTAATAATTATCTAAAATTAATATATAGTAAAAATATCAATTTCGTCTTAGTAATAATTCAAACCCTCAAATGTGTAGAAAAGCTTCTTCAAGATACCAACGCTGTCGGCTCCATCATTCCTCTCTCAATGGAGGACGATTGGCTAATGGAATTGACGGTCTGTTCTTGTTTTTTTATGGGTTCTTGTTTATGGTTCTCCTCTCTTCGTTAAGACAATATGCATCTTTGTATTTCAGCACTATCAAATTCAAAATTGTCGCTTTATGAATTCTTTTCCTATGTTATTTTGCTTCTTTTTTTTTGGTTTCCCAGGCTTTCGAGTTCCTATTCTTTCATTTCTTGCAACTTGATAGGCTTTTTGCATCATTCATATGAAATTTGGATACTGACGAGCTATTAGTTTTGTTGGTCAGTGAAAAGGGAAAGAAAAAGGAATTTATCAACTTTCAATGAAATCCCTTGAGATTAGATGTATTGGAAAAATGGTTATCAACTTCACTGTGAAACTTCTCGGTAGTAGGGCTTTTGATGATGATTCACAATTTAGTGAGGACAAAATAGTTATTTTATAAAGGATTGCATGCTTATATTGAGTATTCATAGAGAGCCCCTATAAATAAACATTACTAAAAAAATATGCAATTTTTATTATCAGTGTAATATTTTTTATCATTATTGAATTCAACTAAACAGACCATTTATAGTACTACCTCCGCTCTTTAATATAAGATTCTATTTGACTTTTATTTTGGTCCTAAATATAAGACCCCAATCCACGTTGTCTCTCATATTTATACATTTTTTCCAAGATAGTCCTTTTAATAATTGTAGTTCTAACCAATATAATTGATTAGTAAGAATATTTTAGAAAAGACAACAACTAACTTAACTTCTTTCTTTAATCTCCTCAAATTAGTTAACTGGGTCTTATAATTAGGACCGAAAGTAATAATATGATAAGGATTACCGTTGCACACCCGCGATGGCGTGGTCCCTAAATTGATAATCATAATAAGGTCCATCGATTACATGCTTTTCTTTCTTTTATTTCCCGCAAATAATTACATACGGCGAATTTACTCAATTTAGCATCCGGATGGCAAAAACAAAAACAAAAACAAGAAGGAAAACAGGAATTTAGCATCTAGAAGCCTTCGGGTCGTGATTCTTTTGGCCCTACCAAAGTCATGATATTGATATTCAGGAAATTTCAGGTCAAGTAAATTATTTACTCATATTTTACACAAAATTTAAGATGAGTACATTGTTTTTTTTAATAATTTTTGAATAATCATAACTCCAAATATGGATATATAGAAAAATATTTTTTATTTTTAATCATTATGTGGATTTCATTAAGGAGGGGAGTTTATAAAAGATCCCATACTTTCTCATTAACAGTAGCAATAGTAATAACAGTATGTGGGTGTGGGAGTGATATTTCAAATGTAAATTGGAGGAGGAAATTTTTGAATGAAATATGACGAAATTGTAGTGAGAGAAAATTGCACGTGGCTTAACAATAAAACAATTTTTAAAAATTGGCTAAAAACTCAATAATTTAAAAAGAAAATTGTCATTGAAGGAAATACACAAATAATAAGAGAAATATATGCTTTAATTTGTTACGTAAGCATACAAATAATTAAACAAATATCATAAATATGAAAAAATTGAAATAGTGGCATGAAAGTTCCATGGAAGTTGGAAGTCATCGGTTGAATTCCGCTTATAATATCATGCCATTAGTATTTGCTCATCTAATTCAACAAAAAATAAATTAAAATAAAATAAATAAAGACGGCTGCACCATATATAATCCTGGTATATGGAAATATAATATCCACCCTTTACACACACGTATATGGAATACACACAAGATACTGGTTTTCACAATCCTGGTAACTTCATCTGATTATTTAACTCATTTACGATCAAAAAAATTTCCGTCGGAAGGTTCAATGAAACTCCTGCAGAAAATTCATGAACCACCCCACATATTTCAATCATGCTACAACCTGGGATTTCCTTTTGGATTCCTCTTTCTTTCATTAGATTTCTCACTCTTTTAGCTGCATCAAACTGGCCAGCTTTGGCATATATGTCACACAAGTTCATATAGAAAGCATGATTATGAGGCTCTAAGTTAATCAAATGGATAGCTACCTTTTCTCCTAGGTCTATATTCCCATGCATCTGACATCCTCCAAGTAATGAACCCCACACATAAACATCAGGCTTCATTGGCATGTCTCTTATTAGCCTTTCTGCCTCCTCAAACAGCTTGGTTCGGCTAAGAATGTCAACCATGCAAGCATAGTGATAAACCTGAGGTTCAATTGAGTAGACATTTTTCATCATGTCAAAGCACCACCGACCTTTCTCTACCAAACCAGAATGAGCACAAGCAGACAATAACCCCACGAATGTTACATGGTTAGGCTTCACTCCAGCTTTTTCCATCTCTAGAAAGCAATCGAAAGCCTTCTCACCTAAGCCGTGAAGGGCAAACACCGAAATCATTGCTGTCCATGCTGAAGCATCCTTCCTAGTCATTTCTTTGAAGATCTCAACTGCTTGATCTGCATGCCCACACTTACCATACATATTCACTAGTGCTGTTCCAAGTACCACATCACAATCTAGCCCACTTCTTCTCAAATAACTATGCACCCATTGCCCATGGTCTATCGAACCAAGTTGAGCACAAGCTGAAAGGACACTAGCAATTGTGAATTTATCTGGCTCAACCATAGTGTCTTCGCTGGAAACTTGCATTTGATGAAAAAGTTGCAGTGACTCTTTTGGTCGGCCACCTTGAACCAACCCTGTAATAATGGAGTTCCAGGTTATGATATTCTTCTCACTCATCCTCGTGAACAATTCCATTGCATTGTCAAGCTCTCCATTTCTCAGAAACCCAATTATCATTGAGTTCCAAGTGACAATATCTCTCACTCGCATTTCATCAAACAGCTTCCTCGCATTATTTAACAACCTACATGCCATGTACAAATTTATCAAGGAATTCCCAACAAAAATATCATCATAAAATCCAAACTTGGTGACTTGGGCATGAATTCCTAAGCCAGTAGTTTCATCCAGCCTCCTAGTGCAATCCTTTAAAAGGAAGGGGAAAGTGAGGTTTTTCGGTAAAATGCCATTGCGAAGCATTTCTCTATAAATCAATAAAGCCCTGCAAATGTGGCTATCTTCACCATCATCCTTCAAATCCGCGTATGATCTAAGCATGATATTATAGGCACGAATTTCCGGGTGCTTTATCGTCCGAAAAACCTTAGAAGCATAAGTGAACGAACCCCAATTCGAAAAAGCACAAAAGAAGAGGAGACGAGTAATGAGATAATATTGGTCATCGGTAGGTAACAGTGGGGACTTCACAATCTGAGCGTGGATTTGTTTGGCCTCTCTGAAATTCTTGCATTCTTCTATTAATTTTGAAAGGCAGTTCTTGAGACATCTGGGTTCGCCAGTTTTGAACTCCAGGCGGGTAACCATAATAACTGACACTAAGGCCTACAAGTAAAACCCCAACCCCCTCGTACATGAAACACAATGGTTTATATAATTCCATTCTACGCAAGGATAAATCTCTCTCATACATAGAGATGAATTAAAAGTTGAACATAAACGTCAAGTTTAAATTTCTTGAACTCGTGAAATTACGAACGACAGGACAAGTGAACATGTTTTCCCCCCAACAGTTCTTTTCTCGTGGTCGCAGCACAAGAACTGTAAGTTATTTTATTTTACTGCGAGACTTCCAAACATGAATTATGATTGAAAACATACAATAAGAGGGCAAAAACGCAACTGAACCAATAAATTATCGGGAATAAATATAATTATCATGTATTAATAAATTTTTCCCTGTAATTTTAGTCAGGTACAATTTCCTTTCTTTTTTATTTTCTGTAGACTTGGCATTTCAATCAAAACAATGTCATTACAATTATCATAAGGTGAAAAGTAGTCCTCTTACCCAGATATGAGCTCAGCTTTACAGACAAAAACCTAACCTCACGCTTTCTTTCTAGCGAAGAGTGAACAAAAATGATATCCAATGAGTTACGAAGAGAACTAAGTAAATATTTTTCATTTTTATGTTGAAAAAAATTACTGCTATAAGCATTTTAGTCATCGTTGGCCGGAAAAAAAGAAAAAAAATTAGTCATCTTTGACTACCTCAGCTCCATATCTTCTTTACCATCTCTTCCCCCCTCTATTGCCGCCACGGCCTCTCCCACCATAAGAACCACCGGAAAACCGATCACTCCTCTGATTTGAGAAACCACCATTCTTGCCACCTCCTCTTCCACCGGAAAACTTGTTTCCACGGCCACTACTTCTATTATTACCAAACCCGCCACGACCACCACCACCAAATCTGCCCCCTCTTGACTGGTCTCTTTCTTGCAAACGTGGCAATTCTTCTAATACTTCTAAGCTTATATTAGCAGCATTTTCCTGACCTAAAGAGTAAACATCACTTAATAAGAAAAATAACAACCGAAATGAAAGCTAAATGTAGGGCCAAATCAACCCCTACAAAGTTAATTCACATGCATAGCTCAAAGTAGAATCTTACCAGCAAGATATATATCTAAATCTTCAGCTGGCACGTCAAAGACGGAGCCATTTCCATCTGCAGTTAGAGTAAGACCCTTCACTGCCTCAACCTTCTCCTCAGGCAGAAATCTCCTGAGGATTCCATATGCAAAACTATTACCCCCCCCCCCCAAAAAAAAAAAAACAACAATGAAAGGATCAGTAAGGCAAACATCTAGACCTTTCCAAAAAAATTTAGCAAGTATTCTTAGGTAATCATTAAGATATTAATCAGGAACTGATTTAGAACAACATGCAAGCGTCTTAGTTTAAGAGCGTGGTTCACTGTAAGGTTCTCACGATGGTGTGAAGATGGGTCTTCCAATCTCAAGAAGTAATGTGACATAATTCTCCATGGAAGTAAGAAGTGATCTTTTCTTTATCTCGGTACAACCCTGCACATTATACAATCAATTTTTTTCCCAAGTTAGAGAAGCATATTGAATATGAAGGGTTTGACGAGGGAATTACAATTGCAACAAAAAGATAGACTGAGGAAATGTTAGGAGAACAGGGAACTCACAACAGCCATGGCAAGAGCTTTTGCAAGTAATTCAACGGCTGTTAAACCAGAGTTGTTCAAAAGTTCCGCAGCAGCAGACTTGAATGCAGGAATTACACTGCATTTATGACATTTGTTAACAACAAAGACAGCATAAAATAACATTTGCACATAAGGGGGAAAAAAATGCCTGTCGGACACTTGGTTTATCATTTTAGCAGCATCACCACCAACAGCTTTCGCAATGTCAACAGGCTGAGGAGCTGATATGTGCTCAAATTTCACGCCTGATTCTCTTTCTATTTTAGATATATTTGACCTTCTTGGATCATAAAGCATAACTGCGACTCCAGTATTGCCTGAAAATTTTAACGCCAGCATTATCAAAATCTGATTACCCTAAACTTTCTGTTTTGAATTATCTGCATTCCATTTGTACCTGCTCGTCCTGTGCGGCCAGAACGATGAATATAGGCTTCTACATCACGTGGAGGTTCACACTAAACCAAATATAAAGATCACCATACAGATTAGGAAAGTCATAATATTGACTCAATATAATATAAGTAATTAAGTAAATGCGCCAGAAGTACCTGAATAATTAACTGAACATCATTAATATCCAATCCCCGAGCTGCTACATTTGTGGCCACTAATGTCATGAATTTTCCAGACCTAAAGCCAGACAATGTGACCTGCAAGTGGCAGGGTGGATTTCAGCGGATAAAAAAAGAAAAGAAAAGAAATAAAAAAGTTGTCCGCCAAAAAAATCAACCAAAAGCAAACATATCTGTTACAAGGATACAAAAGTTATGACACAGATCATAAATTTTCGTACATCTCACCTCACGTTGTGCTTGTTGTATGTCCCCATGTAGAGCTCGAGCTCCAGGCAAAAGCCCTGCAAGCTCAGAAGCTGACTCCTTTGTCTCAGTAAATATGATTGTCCGGCCTCCACTGAATCAAAACCATCAAAATATAATGATGCGCCAAATTCAATAGATTCACCATAAAATAAAAATATTAAGCACATATTGCAAGTGAATCATAAAAGTTCACCTGCTATGGCAGCGAATAATGTCTGGGATAAGCTGGGACCTGGCAGAACTCGTACATGGAAGAACAATATGCCTAACATTGGTGCTAGCCTTCATTTTCTCATTCCCAACGAGGTCAACAGTTTTCTTATCTGGTTTCAGAAACTTTGAGGAAATCTGGCAACAAAATCATATTTGGCAACAAAATTTTTGTAACAATAAAAAATTCTGACACTAGAGATCATCACACAGAAGCATACATGCTTAACCCAGTCTGGCAAAGTAGCACTGAATAGAAGTGTCTGAACTTTACTAACATCTTTAACCTTACCTGCATAACATATAGAGCAGATTTTTACATCTCTGAAAAATATCTTATCATCCCAAAAACCTTGGATAACATCTCAATAATCTGTGACAATTTAACCATATATGGAGTAAAGAATATCAACAGATAAGAATGTGAAGAGTAATTGAAGTATCTTCCATCAGATATGCATAATTTACCCTAAAATCGAAGCATAGCAGCATTCCATGCATTACAGGTAGGGGGAAAAACACATACCCAGAATGAATTCAACATCTTCAACAAAACCCATCCTCAGCATCTCATCTACCTCATCAAGGACACGGAACCTTAGTTGAGTTAGGTCAATATTTTGTCTCTCTATATGATCCTACATGGATATTCACATATAAATCAAGAATAAATTCTTTCTTAGACAAACTGAAGCTTCCATCCTAGCCATAATTTAATAACCATAACAAGGAATAACAGCAGCTCCATAATACATAGAGACACACGTGCATGCAACATGGTAATTACCTTTATGCGGCCTGGTGTTCCAACAGCAATATCGACACCTCGCTTGAGCTTAATTTCTTGAGCTTGATATGGAGCTCCACCATACAAACAGCAGGAAATCAAACCCAACGCCTCACCATAGACTTCAAAGTCAGAGAACACCTAATGCATCACATAACACATTATAAACAAAAGGAATAACAAATATCCATATATCGATCACATGAAGATTTTTCTGCAACCGCCTCTTGCGTAATGCACCTGAGAGGCCAATTCTCTAGTGGGCAAGAGCACAAGAACGCTTGGAGACCTCCCATAGCCAGTCTTTCTGGATGCCTTAGCCGAACCATTGGTTAAAGACTCTAATATGGGCAACACAAAAGCCAGTGTTTTACCCTACATTTTCCCAACAGTTGACAATCAATGCAAACGATAAAAAGTTGAAATCAGTCAAATGCAGAATGATCTTTTTGAAACTTTGGCTCCGAGAGTTATAGCAACTATGTAACTAAATGTTCATATCAACTTAACAGGAATTCCGTCCACCTCCGGGCCCCAGAAATACGTGTTGTAACTATTAAGAACCAGGAAATCATAAGCATTTGTAAATACACAAAAGGATAAAAAGAGAACGCACCTGACCAGTGCGCGCCCGACCGACCAAATCAGAACCATCGAGAATGGTATCAAAGGTCATGGCCTGAATGGGAAATAGAGATTCAATCCCTTTCTCCTTCAACTTCGCCCGCAAGGGCTTCGATATCCGAAAGTTCGAAATTGCATTGGGATCCTTCTTCTTCTCGACCTCCTCCTCCCCCATGTCAGGTTCCTCGAATTTCGGCTTTTTGTTATTGTTTCTCTTCTCCTGACTCTTCGCCCTCGAACTTTGAGGCTCAACTAACTCCGAGCTACTCTCGCTCTTCTCTCCAACCCCATCAATATCCGAAGATTTACGCTTCTTGGTCTCCTTCTTCTTCGCCTTCTTGTCCGAAAACCCATCTTGGTCAGAATCAGACACCTTCATATTTCTTGTAAGCTTAGAACTTTTCGTGCTCTCCTTACCAATGGATGCCTCTTCAGTTGAAATTTTGTTCTTAGTCTTCTTCTCCTTTTTCTCCTTCTTTCCTTTGGGGCTCTCAGAGGGAGCTACAGGAGGCATGATGTTATAGGATAACTCGGAAAATATGTCTCAATAAAGTTATGTTATGTGTAAAAGGTACAAGAAAAGAGAGAAGGAAGGAAGAGTAGAGACTTCGGCTGCATCAAAGGACTCAAGGCAGTGAACTGCGGAAGAGAGAGCAGGAGAAAATGAAGCAGGTACCGGTTTTACGGTTGCGCTAACTGGCAACGTATCATGATTAATGAGCCGCTTTAGTTAACTTAATTAATTATAATAAACATTTTTTATTTTTTTAAAAAAATTACTCTTTTTAATTATGTATATTGAAACCAGTTCTTGATTAGGAGCTCCTTAATGATATATGAAATTAATAAAAAAATAAATTTAAAAAAAACTAAATAGATTGAAATGAATATTTTTGTCCCCGTTCAGAAGCAGAGGTAATACCATAATTATAATGATTTTTTTCACCAATGATGGTATCTTTTAGCACAAGAACAATTATTTTCCTCGAAAAATGATAAACAAGGATTTAAATTTAATGAGGAGTATAGTTCAGCACTTCAATTTGATTTTATTATATTTTGATTAGTTTTAAAAAAAATATCAATTTTAAAAATGCGTCAAAAAATTAAAGAAATTCTATGTTATAAAAATTTACTTTTAAAGTTAATTTGTTATTCCAGAGCTTTATAATTTGTATTAAAAAATTAAAATTAATTATAATATGAAAAAAATCAGAATTCTTGCATTCTTAATATAACTGCATTAGATTTTATCAATTTAGGATTTTTAATGTAAATTACGAGTATTACCTTAAGCGTCAGAGTGATCGGAAGTTTTAAGTGTATATCAATAATGCAATAATTTTTGTCTGAATAAAATGAATCAAGTTACTTTTAAAAACTATATGGTGCTAAACTATTAATGGCTGCAATATTTTTGCCAAAACGAATTGCTGTAACTCAATTATTAATATTAATTTTATTATCTTTTCGAAATTGCAAAAAGAAATTGTCAACCTGCAAGTTATGACAATATCCTCCTCCATTCCACCTTGCTGAATTTAAACAATGCGAAGAATAACTTTTCTACCATCCAGCTTTTTTTTAAAAAAAAAAGGAGTTTGAATTTTTTTCCCGAATGTGTTTCTTTTCTGGAACTTCAACTCTAATCCAAACATACGGTGTTAAGTTTTCTCAGGGCAAAATAAAAAAATGGCGTAACAAATGCATATCATAAATTGCATATTTGTTTCATATTTTATATGGCTAAAAATATTTTTAATCATTTAAGTTTATATAAGATTTTAATTTAATCACTTTAAGAAGTATACTTGACAAAAATAATGATACTGAAATCTTTTGATAAAACATTTTCAAATACACTGAAATGAACAACAGATAAAACAGTGGTTTAAATCCTCTCAACGGAAAACATCCAATAAATAAATGAAGTTAAACAGATTGCATAGCAAATTTCACCAAATTTTTTTCTTTGACCGAAGAACAAATTTTACCAATTGTTGCTTACTAGAAATGCAATGTAAATACAAAACTGAGTCCCACGCTCATGAGGCCAAAAGTACGCTATTACTGAGCTCCGAAAAAAGAGGGGGGGGGGGTTGGTGTTGTTGGAAGTAATGTAAATTGCCTAGCAAGCACCTATCTAGCACCACGTATTGAAACATTGCAGTGAACATAATGAGTCAGACAAAACAAGCCGGCCATAGAATAGTAGAATACACTGAATCAGACACGGGTCATTTTAAACCTATCATGTTTCTATGTTTTTCGCGGGAAATACAAAGTTTCCTAGTTACAGAGAAGTGGAGAGACAGATGGAAAGAACACATAACATATATCTACATCCAGAAACTAAAAACAAACCCTAGAACAACACATAAAAACCATTTCCTGCACGATAGTTGGCTTGAAGATGAAGCAGCATTGCACAAATTAAACCCGTACCACGTATCCGAAGGAATGAATGTGTTGTAGTTAAATGTAACAGCCCTTGTGTTATGACCGTAAATTTGCACACTTCGTGGCTTCCAGCCGTCGGGTCCAGTTCTGTAAAGGTATACGTAGCAAATTTGATATGCACATGGACCATTTATCTGAAATGTATCCGAAGAACACCGCTCAAATGCTTTTGAAGATGGATCATCCAGTCTTGGTGCATATATCTGATCATCAATATGTGAAAAAGAAGCAAGAATAAGTTACCTCAATTAGTTAAAAGCGGGTCCCAAATGAGGCTTCCTTTCTTTCTGCTTTCATTGATTGAGCCTTTTATTTGCTTCTTGTTAACATGGATTCTAAAGCTATCAACCTACTATTGCTTTCCCCAGTATCACTATGAAAATCATTTGTTCTGCTCTTGACGCTCCATAATTTATCAGTTAGAGACTCCAGTCTGATCTTTTATTCTATAGCTGTCAAGCAGAGTCTATGCTAAACCACTGTCCTTCCTATATATACCAATATAGAATGAATATATGCAACAACAAGAAGAAATTACCATTAGGGTCCCCAAAAGTTGCATGTTCCCTCTCCTGGCTGATTGAAAGATAATTACTATCATTAAATTTCAAATTTTGTTTAAATATCAATATGATCTCACGTGACTTCTAAGGACTAAAGTGATGAATCATACACCTATCAAAACCAAACACTAGTTAACTCTAGAACAATTCAAGTTGAAACAATCAAAATACCTAGAAAAGGAGTTCAAGGTCTTTTGCCATAAAACAAGACAGCTAATAAAATGATATGATTCACCGAAAAAATAAGAACCAATTTCGATAAGTCGATCTTGAAACCAATTAAAGAACCAAAAGGACAGCTGAATTCCAATTAAAATTAGACCTCATGTTCTAGCAAATGCAATAAATAAATTGATGAATCCAACTTAGCTGGTAAAAAAAAAAAAAAAAGACCTGATTGCCATAAGCATCCCCGAAAGAAATACTGATCTGATCCCTTGTATATACAGGAGACGAACAACTCGTAGATATAATCACCGTGTAAGGACAGCTCCCAACGTTCTTCATCTTATATCACGAGAAACGAAAGAAATTAAGAAGGAAAATCACAGGCTATATTATAGTTCATGTACGATGAAACAGGATAAAAGAATCAAAGGGCGAGAAATTAATCACGAAAAGAGGTTTTGCGAGGCATACCTGGATATAGCTGACATTGAAGGATTCAGCCGCGTGAGGCTCTGGAGTAGAAGATTGGAACTCTGCGACTGAGAGAGTCGCTCCAATTCCAAAGGCAAACAAGAGTAGGAGTTGCAGAAATACCTCCGTCTTCATCATCTTCTCCGAAGCGAAACCTGAAGAATCAAAGATCGATATATGGCTTCTGTGGAGTAATTTAGCTTTTTACAGATTGTGTATTATGCGGCCTGAAATCGGTTCGTTCGTCGCTCGAGATCCCCGAGCAAGCAATTTATGAGCTTCAGGCCAAAGAAAACAAAATGACAAAATGACGGATTAGTCTATCCAGAGAAATAAAACTAAAATTGATAGCATTGAAAATAATTAATTACTCGCCTTGTAAAAATTAAAATAAGAGAGAGAGAGATTTGATAAAATAATTAATTACTCGCCCTGTAAAATATAATTATGAGCGTTAATATGGATTATAAAATTTATAACCAATTATATTATCAAAATTTATAAATGACCCGATTAGAAGGAAATAATAAAATATAATAAGATAAAATTAAGAAATTAAAATAAACATATAAAACCAGTGGAATGACACATACGCTCATGGTTTGGGCGAAATTGCAAGAGACGTGGACACGCGCGCTATCGACCTGCACACTGGATCGATACGTGGTTCTTGAATCTGACAATTTTCAATGAGCATTTATTTGTCTCCTTTATTTTTATTTAAAATTTTGTATTTTCCTTGTCTTGGGCGAGGTTGACATGGGCCCCTTTTTGACCCGTCTTCATAGTGAAACTTGCTTTGTTGGGCTTGTGGCCCAAAGAGTAATGCTGAGGTAAAATGGGTCAAGAGACTAACAACGAATAGTTTCTCCGTATTTTAGCCCTACCACAAAAGCTATTAGTGGAAGTGAGAACAATCCACAGAGCACTACTTCAATCCTAGGCACGTGAGGCTGCTACTTGTCGGAACTGGGCATGTAAACAATTGCCAGGTAAACTCAGTTCATTAAAATTTAGATTTTTCTTCTTTTTTTTAATCAGGTTGAATCTGCGGGTTCTTTTGTGTGTGTAATCGTGTAACCCTAATTAGTAATTTATTGAATTTTAAAATAAAGGGGTTTTTTAATGTGTGTGATTTTTAACATTTTGTCGGTTATACTGCCTGCCAGAATAAATTGACATGGTCAGAGACTGAGAAGCGCCAAACGATTTAAGCTTGCACATGATTTTAGCATTTGTTTAATACGATGATCACTTTTCTCACTTACAAAATGACATTTTTTTAATAAACTTTTAATTTTCTAATACAGGGTCCTTCCGTAGTGAACCTCATGATTTGGCACTCCCTTTTAGAGAAAAATGAAGATGGCTTTGTGCTAAATTAGATTCATATTTACTGTGCCAGCCACTCCTATCTATATAAAAACACTGCGCTTGGTATCTACAAAGTGGTGGGATGGCTTTATTAATTCAGCCTACGTAGTTTACTAAAAGCAAAGAATAATACCCACACCAACACTCACTCTTTTAAAATTTCTTTAATATATACGTCCATGAAAGAATTGGAAAGCTTGTGTGACTGAGGGTGTGTTTGGGTGACATCCCAAACCATGGTTTGAAGACCCAAACCATGGTTTGGGGAATAATCTACCCAAACACCCCCTCCAAAAACCAAAACCATGGTTTTGGAAAAAGCAAAATTTTTTTGCTTTTGGAGAAAAAAGGGAGAGTGTGAGGGCCTATATGATATGTATCTTGTTATTTTTTTTATAAACATATTTTTTTATAAATATATTTAATCTTATATTTATAAATATATATACACATTAATTATTTATTAATTATATTATCTTATGTATTATTAATTATGTTGGTAAAAAACATATTATTAACAATTTTATTCCTTCAAATTAAAATATATCATAAAATCTATTTTTTCTGTAATTATCATATTAACTTATGTCTTTTTTTTAGTAATTTGTATATATAAAAAGTGCTTCTGATAACAACTATCCAAACACTCTCACTTCTCAGAATCACTTTTTTACAAAATCTATTCTTCACAGAATCTATTTTTCCCAGAATCTATTCTCCAAAATCACTTTTCCAAATCACGGTTTGGTTTCATCCAAACACACCCTGAATCCCTTTCTCTGATTTGTTTTTTTCCCCTTTTCCAACTTCAATAATCCTAAAGGCCTTTAAATAAGATGAGTAGGGCCACCCTGCTTTAATTTCCCAGCTTGTTTTACGCACAGTAAAAGACAAAAGTAACAGATTCCCCATTTCCTTCCTTTTTTTTTTATGCATTTAAACCCCTTTAAGTTTAAGCCCCACAAGTCACTGCGGAAATTGGATTGGATTCCTTCCCGCATCATCTTCCAATATTATTTTGGTTTCAGTAAATCAAGAAATAAAATATCTTGACCCTCAAGCGGCTCCTAGTCATCCTCTGCAGATTGCAGCTTGCAAACTATCAAAGCAAAATCCAGCTTCAGATTCTCCTGGCAATGACACTACCATTAACTGATACAGGGATAACATGCTCTAAATTCCACCCAAATTCAAGAATAACTAATTGTCCCAACTTACAACTGAAAGTAGTTGCAAGTGACTTGCCTCGAAGCTATCTTCTCTTATCAGACAAATCCATCTGCCTCAGTCTCGTGTATTTATAACTTCTTCAGGATAATCTAAAATGCAAGAGAATTGCATAACATAACATGCACCTCTCCAAGCTTCACTCTAAGAACTGATTATGGCGCACAAGTTCATCACGAACTGATAAAAATGAAGACAGATCTTCTACAAAACAGATCCAGCACACCCTGGATATACCTATCCAAACAGTACAAATCCATAAATTTATGGCGATATACCGTTTTTATAATGCATTTGTATCAGTGATGCTGTGTCTATTTCTCTCATCTCATCATTGGCCAAACCCTGAAAACCCAGAGACCAGACCAGCGCCATAATCTATCCAAATCATAGATCAGTGAGGACCACCAATCTTTATTGCAGGAAGCATCGTTCTACTACATGTCATCACAATGTGGGGTGATTTCTCAGTAGCTACCAGCCAGCTGCTGCGATCACAGTGACTGCAGAACTAAGCAATTATTGTGCTCAAAAATGAATTTTATTCTCTCTGTGAAAAAATTAATACAAATATACAACAACAGTTTTTGATGAGCGTATCATCCATGGTCACAATAGAAAGAATCACATACTATAGTACAACCCACGAGCCCATCAGAGACGAATGCAGGGGGAGGGGCCAAGAGGGGTGCTCATTGTAGATCTATTAATTTAATCTGTGAAAATAACTCTATTACACTACCCAATTCATCAGCAACAACCAACAAGATGGGTTTTTCAATCTTCTTCCGTGTTACCATTTAGTAAAACCTGATTCTTCTTGCTCCTTGAACCTTCTCAGAATCCCATCAAGAGCAACATCAAAAGCATCCTTTATCCCCTTTATCCCCTCTTGGGGTTTTGCATACACAAACTTGGGTATGAACTCAATCACTTTCTCCCTCATCGCCGTGACCTCCTCTTTACTGTACCTTTCCAGCACAGCTTTAATGGAGGTACCATTCTTCACCTCATTCCGGTCTATAAAAACCGAGAAACTCTTCGGTTCACTAGGTAAGAACCACTCGTACTGAAGGTAAGCGGTTCGCCTCCAGAAGAAAACCGGAATCGAACCAGCTAGCATACAGTCGAAAATCGACCTCCTCGTGAAGCTGTCTCCTCTGGGCTGCAAGCAGAAATCGGAGTCCAGAAATGTTTCCAGAATCACAGACGTTCCGTTAGAGCACTTTGCTCCCGCACAATCCACGGCTCGGCAAGACCCGGACGAGTCACGGCACTGACTCAGCAAAGACCTCGGAAGTCGTTCTTAAACGACTTACGTGGCGCGCCGGCGAAGCAGAAGAGAGTATTTCGCTTCCGTTCTCGTACGAAGCTCTGCCACCGAGTTAGGTCCGACTCGGATCGGGGATGGAATCCGGTGGGGTAGGGAATGCCGATGTCGAAGTAGTCCCACGAGTTGCGTTCAATGAGAAGTCGTGTGATGTTCTTCATTCCCGGCATGTAGATGCAGCTAGAACCCCAATCTTCGTCTTTGGAACGGCGGAAGTCCCATGTGATGCGGCCCATGGTGATGAAGTGATTCCAGCCGTTGGATCTTTGATAGTAGGGTTGATTGTGGACCCACTCTAGCATCATCTTGCAGTGATGATCGCGTTCGGCGGCGGTGGATTTGGACCAAAGGTACTTCCCGACCGCGAGTCCAGCGTAGAAGGGGATGTAGAACGCCGTAGCGGATTCGGGCTCCGTGACTCTGCACTTGTGATTCAGCATGCGATTGTGGAAGATGATCTCCGAAACGAACTGATCCGTCCAGTGCCACGCCGGAGCTAGATCCTCCGGCACAATTTCAGCGAGTCCACCGGCGAACTGGCCTAATCCGTCGTTTGAAAGCGCGTCACACCGGGAGCTCCATGGGTGAGGTTATCGCAATTCTCGAGAATTTCCCGGTTGAAGGTATTGGGAAGGTCGTAGATGAAGACTCTACCGGACCCACATTGGTCCTGGTCGCCGGAATTCTCATGTGACGACGTCTCGACGACGGCGATGGTGTTTTCACCGGGTATCTTCTGTACCAAGGCGTTTTCCTCCCTGGGTATATGCTCGATGACGCTGTTGGGGGCTAGATAAGTGGGGAAGTGATGGTGGACATGGTGGCCGTAGCGAACAGAAATTGAGGTGGGGAAATTACGGAGGTTGCAGAGGAGTACAATCTGAATGAAGAGGACGATAACGAGGATCCATACGCGAGGGTTTTGAGGAGAGAAAAGGGCTGGAATAAGTTCGAAAGTGAATTGAAAGAGCTCTTGCCGTCGAATAGCTCAGGAGTTCTGGGTCTTCGGTGAGGTTGGGGTTCGGGCGACGAATGATTTGACAAAGGAAGCATGAGAGAAAGAATCTTCCGACGAGATGGCCGGGAAAAATGGAGGGGTATGTGGTTCAGAGAGAGGTAGAGTGAGAAGGATAAACGTGTGAAGTGATCAATACGTGAACTCGTTACTAGCAGCGCGGGTTTAAGGTTGCTTTCGTGTGTTCTGGAATCGCAGGGGGGTGAGAGCAGAGGCATGAACTGACACGTGTCCAGTACTTTACAGGCTGCGAGAGCATACCGACACGGGACCAATTCCTTCTGAAATAGACACGTGACAGTACTGTTGCGACGGTTATGGCATGAATGGTGAAGTTTTCCGGTGACATACACAAAGTTAAAAAAATCCTGATGAAAAGAAAAATACGGAGTAATTTCATCGGATGACCATTATTTTTTGAATTAATTTCCTTTAAAGGAGCAATAAAACCTAAAAGAATTTGAGCGAGAGATGTAAAATGGTATGATTGTTTTGAGCAAAATATGATCATAAACATGAGTTTTTTTTTTAAACGGTAAGTAGCAAATCACGACTGTTTCTTTCAATTCACGTTATAAAGAACGTGATCATAAGAATATTTTTTTAAAAAAAAAAATAGGGATAATTCATTTTGAATTATTTAAATTTGGGGCCGATAATTTGATTTTCAAGTTAATGTGGAAAAAAAAAAAGGCTAACATTACATGTGATCATGTTAGCAAAATCGGAGAGAATTTAAGAAATGCGTCATGTTGGGAAGGGAAGCCACGTGCTGCGCAAATATTGGCGGAGGTGAGAGTGGGGAACGATGTCGTTTCTTTACGGTGGGTACAGGAGTGAATTGAGGGGAAGGCGGAGGTGACAGGTGGAATGTAATAATAAGGCAAGGAAGGAGCGGTGCGGCGGGCAGCGGAGGAAACGGTGCGTAGCGTACGGGACCAGGGATGCACAGTGGACATCTGCACGCCCACATGGAGTATGATGCTCTCAGCGTGCCTGCCGACACGACATCTTCTTCTTTTGTTTATGATTGGTCTCAGTATTTAAAAACGTTGGAATAGCCGATTTTCGAGTTCTTCTGTGTGTAGCGCACGAACTTCAAAGCAAGTTACTCTCTTTGCCTTTACATGTAGGGTTTCTTTTTTACTAACTCCGTGCTTAATATAAGATCTTATTTGATTTTTATTTTGATCATAAATATAAGATTTTAATCCATCTTATCTTTATATTTACTCAATTTTTTTAATTAATTCTTCTAATAATTATAGTTCTACTTAATATACTTGAATAGCAATAATATTTTAGGAAAGACAACACCTATTTAAGACAAATAACTAACTCAACTTACTTCTTTAATCTCTTCAAATTAGTCAACTGGCTCTTATAATTAGGATTAGAGGAGTATTAAATTTTTTTTCCATAGTGCTATTCTCGTTCTCAAAATGGATCGCCAAGTCTGATAAAAAAAAATTTATGGATCACTAAGTAGGATAATAATTATATACTTTTTAAATTGTCTTATTAAAAATTTGATCCAATTTTTTTTCCTTTCCCGAGATATTATTACTGGGTTTTAAACGGATGCAAATTTGATAGCCTGATCACATCTTCTTGATTCTATTGAGATAATCGGAGACGCCTTATAATAGTAACAGAAAGAAATACCTTTGCTTGATGGCAAAAAAGAAAGAAAGAAAGAAAGAAGTGCTCTCTTTTTATTGGCCAATTTTTATCTCTTCACATTAAATGTTAATCACTAAATAGTGGGAATAAATTTTTTTAAAAGCGACAAACTATCTGCATATTAGTTAGGGAAAATTACACAAGTGGTGTCGTGAACTTTCATAATCTCATTTTAGTGTCGGGGCACCAAAATGGGATGAAATTCCTCTTAGAGGCGATGTAAGCCAGTGAAACCAAAAAAAATTGAGATTTTATAAGTGAGACCAATACAAATTCTTACCTGAATCTCATGTTTAAGACAAGATGTAATGGCACATAAGTTAATTATTAAGTTTTATTACAGGTTAACTACAACATTTTTTAACTATTCACCACACTTTGTTAGTTACTTGATATTATGATAGTTTGACAATTAATGAGGTGCCTCCTTCATGTTATTTGAAAAATTCGTTTAACTATGCACCACAATTCTTTAATCATACTACTTCTAGTCCTAGTTATAAGAGCTAGTTGATTAATTTGAGGATATTAAAAAATAAGTTATGTTAATTATTTGTAATAAATAGGGATTGTGTTTCCTAAAATATCCTTGCTAATCAAATATATTGACTAGAACTATCATTGTTAGAAGGATTATCTTAGGAAAAAATGTATGAATATGAGAGACAAAGTAGATTGGGGTCTTATATTTAAGATCAAAATAAAAATCAAATAAGATCTTATATTAAGGACCGGAATTAGTATATTATAAGAGGTTGACAATAAGTGTTTTTTCCAAATTTTAAACTTATTAAAATAAATGAATGAGACTTCTCTTTCATATTATTTACAAATTTCATCTAGTTATTCACTATACATGATAAACATTTCCTTAACAATTTAAGGATTAACAACCAAGCTTTCAAGTATCAAATTTGTTAAAATAAAGGAAGAAAAAATCAGCAAAAAAAACTGTGAAAATGGTGAAATTGTAAATTAGGTATTTTGTCAAAATTTGTTGTTATTTACCGTTCAGTTGTTAAACTGAATCTTATAAAAATTGAATTAATTTAAAACTTTGAATCATGTTATGAAATAAATGGTAGAATATAGAGGAAAAGTAGAGAATAGAAAATAAAAAAAATAAAAGATTATTTTTATTCCATACATATACTCAACATATGATACAAACCATCTGTTTATAGGCACAATTGTACATCTTCAATAGAATTTACAAATTCTATGATAATAAGAGATAATTATGGATAGCAGAGATAATGGGAGATATTAATGATAATAGAAGATAAGAGAGATAATACTTCCTCCAGTTCAAAATATAAGCTAAACTTTATCCATTTATGTTATGAAGAAACTAGTTAAAATCAGTTTAAAACAATAAATATAAGACATATATTTTTTTCCCAAATATGTTTTTATTAATGAAGAGAATAAGTAAAAAGATGTAATAAATGAATCAAAGAGGAAAGAGAATATATAAAAAGTAAAATAAAAAAATCATTAAATACTTAGATAAAAGTAAATGTTATTTTATAAAAAAAAACTCTACTAATAAAATTTAGTTTATATTTTGAATTAGAAGAAAAAGTAATAGATAGATGGATATCCGTAAAAATATTATATTCATAAAAAATAAAAAAAAAAACCGCAGAGAGCAGTAGAGTACAACACTTGGCTCTAGGATTTGTCTGAACATACAGGACACTAGTTGTCCACGACGCCTCTGCTTATCATTTTTCCAAGAGGAAAAGAGGAAAGCTTTGGCCCGCTTTGTCCAGTGTCCACACGCTTGAGGTGCGAATTAATTTTAAAAAAAAAACTGTAAACAGCAAATCATTAATTTGAAAATTCCAAATCCAGCTTTGCGGAATTGGCATCCAGGTTGGTTAATTAGTGTGATCTATGGTCTAATTACTTGTGTAGCCCTCAGAGGACGGAGCACGCTTTTCGCTTTGAAATTCAAACGAAGCACGTATGTAATGACTAATAATCTTATTTTCATTGAATAGTCCACAACCTCCACCCGCCTTTTGTTTCAATATCAGAGAGTGTGCGCTGTTTGAAACCTCTTTCTCTTTTCTTCTCATTATTTTTCTTTTTTTCTTTTTAACTATTAGATTAATATTTTAACAGTTCATACTTAAATTTTTTAAAATTATTATTAAAATATTAAATTATAAAAATAATAAATAATAAATTACACATTATATTAAAATTTAATTCTAATAGTTTACAAATACGCTAAATGTTTTTAAAATTTTTTTATAAATAGTTGATAAAAAATTAAAATCTAAACCGTTAAAATAAGTTAATTTAACTGTTTTAAAAAAACAGAGAGAGAGAAAAGGATAAAAAGGGAGGATGAGAGGTTTCGAATTGTGTGTTTATCCTACTTCGTTTCTCATTTTCTTTTTATCCGACTAGAGTACTAAACTTAGATGTCCGAATTAAGGCACATAATTTTTTTTTTTTCTGGCTGAGACATGTAATTAATGGGAAAGCAAAATAAATATATATTTTATAGAAAATGAAGTATATTTAATATTTCTCGCCCTGGAAAACCAAATTGGATGCAGGTGCAGCATAAGAGTCATGCGTCGCAATTTCCTGGGATTTTATGCACTGAAGTTTGAGAAAGAGACGTATTTTCTTCTTAACTAAAACATAAGGTGAGAGTTAAAAATGGAAGTATTTTCGTAATGAGCTTACAGAGATATTACATTAAGAAGACATAATTTACCAATATTTAAGGTTTGTTTGGTACCAGGAAAATGAAAAGAAAGGGAGGGAAGAAAAATTTTAATTAGTTTAATTTGAAAAATTAAAGAACTGGGGTTAAAGACTTTTATTTAATTTTTGTTACTCTTTTATATTACTTCTTTTCTTTATTAAAATTTTAAAACCTCACTTCTCTAATTTTTTTAAAATAGAGCTTATTAAAAAAATTTCTCCCTTCCCTTCCCTTCTATTTCCCTGGTACCAAACTGTACATTAACATTTTAAATCTGGCATACATCCACGCATGTTAGAGTTAGATGACTTAAATTTCATTTAATAAGTCAACTTAATTCTGGTCAAAACCAATGGAGATACTAATTCTAGAAAACTGGGCGCTTCGGCAAATACCAGTCAGACCCCCACCACAAGGAAGAGGATTCACATCACGCTGGGCTCAATTCTATATTTCCGACATTAAATTCACTAGTTTGCTGCATATAATAAAAAAGTAAAAACTATTCTGCCTTATTACTCTCCCCTAATACAACAGAAGAGATCACAACAGTTTCACATCACTTCTTCAACAGAAGGGGACCAACATTATCCCCTGTGGCTTTGTTGTGCTTTACATGGCTTCCATCACACAGAGGGAACGTCCCTGATCTCCAACATCTGCACCAAAAACACCCCCACAGTCATTAACACACATATCCTTGAAACCTAAAACACATAATTATAAGCCATTTTTGTGTCCTTGAGGTCAAAATTTGCTATATGATGAGAATGTAAGTGACACAAGAATGAGTTTATATGTGGAATTCGCTTTCTTCTTTCTCTTCCTCTCATTTTCTCCCTTCTCTTTATCTTTCCATCTCTAAGGTTCTTTACAATTACATGAATTTCTACCTTTCCAAAGCTGAATTTCATTTCACTTCTCCTTACAGCTGCACAATTGAAAGGCATGGCAGTGAAGAGAAAGCAGAAGCACGCATACTGTATCACGAGTGTAAATTATAAGGGGCTGGGTTACCTCAAAGGATATAAACCTTGAGGTGTTAGAATGGCATGTCCCTTATAAACCTGCTATTTCTATCTTGCGTCTCAAATAATAGTCTCGGCTATTTATTTAGGAAGACAAGACTATCATACAGACCCTCCACCCAAAAAAAAGGCAATAATAGATGAACTAGCCGTCTAGTGGACAATATAGCTCAATAATAATAGCATGCACAAAGTTATAGAGATCCAAAAGATATAATAATCATACCTAGTCTTGCTATTTAGAGATCAAAGATCAAATATATTGAGTGATTTTACTGAGATTAATGTTGGCTATGCATAACGCCCGCCATACTTCATTTAGCCAGAATATGCCCAATGTCCAAGAATGTTTCAATCTGCTTACAAAAGCATCTCTGTAGCTGCATTACTCTATATCAAAGTGTGGTTTGCTTCAGTGGATTAACTACGCCAAATGCAACTTTTCTCAAGGAACATGATGGGGAATCAATCGATTGTATCGTAGAAGGAATTATTCTATGGCCACATGGGTGGTGGATCGATAGAGTTGAGGGTGGGCAAATGCTGCCACTCAACTTGGGAAAATTTGCAAGTATTGTAAATTTTCAAATTTCGCCCTCACTACCCCTATAACTTTGTACTCACTAAATCCAAGCAGATACATGTGTGTGTGTATTAAAATTTCATATATTTTTTATGTCGTATAATTTATGCCCTCATTCTTCGGCCAAAGAAATGTCCTCGTTGACCCAGGGTCTGCATTCACCATGGACTCCTAAATTTTAACCCATTTTAACCCTAAACCTGTTGAGAATATGATGGAGAATCATCATGCTCAATCAGGCAGAGCCTAGTCTAATCGGCAGGACCATGAACTTACCAATATTCAAAGATACCATAATGAAAGAAATCAGCTGCCTCTATATCATGTTACGTTTTATTTACAGTAGCCTTTATAGAATAATCAGCTAAACTCTAATGCCATGAAGTATATCCCACCATCATTTCCCTGGCCATTGACACTTAGCCTGGTTTGCTGGTGTACTACTGGTGACTACAATAATAAACGAATATTCTTATACTACAAAACTATGTGCATGATTATGCTTGCTGGCAACTTAAGCCATAGAAAGAGACTTGCTCCCTTCCTGATACGTCAGTTCAGAATGTCATATACATCAATATCGGAAAATTCAATTGAGAAAACACATCGATGTTCATGATGAAGGAGCAGAGATGTATATAATAGAAAGGTGTCAGTGGTCACCAACTATTTAATTGAAAAGATGGTCCCTAAAATACTAACCTATGAAGAACATTATTTTACAGAAAGAGGTATTCTGTATACTGAAGCATGAATGAAAATGAGCTTATCCAGGTAATGATATTCATGGAGCTTGACAAGCACTTAAGCAACTGTCAAGCACTCTACAATGAGAATTTTGGCTATGAACGACTGAACGTCCCTAACTAGGTTACAGATAACAAAGTTCTTATTCAGCCTAATTGCACAAGGATTCATTTTCCCCCCTTTAATAAATTCCAGTACAGTACATCAACTCCCATAAAAAAATCTCCACTTGTTACAAACCAAAATGGTCATCTACGTCATAAAATCCTGATCATTCTCTAACGAAACGAAAAAGGGAAATATATATATATATCCCAGGGATAGTTTGAGATTCGTTAAGAAAATCTAAAGGAAAGAAGAAAAGTGGACCTGCAATAAGCAGTGAGGGGCTTAGAGAGTTCAGTGATGACCACAGAGTCCACCACTTTCTCTTCGGTCTTCCTGACATCTGGGTTGATTCCCGCACCCTCAGCTTTCACCAACACGGTGCGTTTAGTTGTGCCGCCATGAACACCAGCAAATGAGCAAGAATTGAATTGGGTACCCACAATTGCTCTCTTGGATGAAGCTGGGGTGTGGCAGAAGAAGCCTAAACCAACAGGACTTAGAACCGACTCCATTATTCTCTCTCCCTCTCTGAGCACTTTGCAGAGCGGATGAGAAATAATAGAGCGAGATTGGATTGTGAGTGTTACTTGACTTGTGGGAAGCACACGCTCCCTGAGGATGAGATATCGGAGAGGATGAACGCTGAGCGTGCCACGTCATATCAATCTTTTTGCGGGTGGGTGGGTAGGTACTACCAGAGAGAAATATGAAAGGTTGGTGTGCATTGAATTTTTAAGTTTTCTTTCACTTTGTTTATTTAGACTAGTGGAATTTTGCTGGCCTCATATTTATTGTCTTGTTATTATTAATATTAATTGGGCGTAGATGATGAACTTTGGTGTAAATTATAAAATAACCTCTAGACAAATAAATTCTATGCCTTCTTCAAACTAATTTTTATAAATTAGCTGTTGCTTTTATACTGGTGCAAAGTTCAAAACTTGGGATTGAAATTACATATGATTTAATGAGTTAGATTATATTCCATTCAATCTTAATATAGGATAGATATTCATAAAATTAGTTAATTTTGTTATTTATAAATATTTTGTTTAGTAATCTAGGGGGTGCAAAATTGCAAAATTTACATGCCCTTATAATTTTTCCCAAAGTGAGGATGGGCATTTGCATCACTCAGTGTGACATGGATTCAGCATAGGCTAAAGTTTCCATGAGAATTACTCTAATTTAGGTTAGCCTGAGTGACAAAAGTTCTCATTACATAAATAAATATGTAGTTGGCGATTCTTAATAACTCTGGGGAGAAATATACACTGTGAAAAGGGACAAAGTAGCTGCTTTATAAAAATACTCTTCCGGTCCTTAATATAAGACCTAATTCTTAAATTGGTTTTGGTCCTAAATATAAGACCCATTTGTCACATTTATTAATTTTCTCTAAATTACCCTATGAATACTCCCTCAACCATAATCAAGTAGAAGAGAGAGAGGAGGTATTAAAAAAGATTATTATGGTGTTTTAAGAAAAATGTGTTACTTTTCTTATAATTAACTAACTTACCTAACTTCCTTAATCTAATCAAATTAGTTAAATGGGTCTTATATTAAGGATTGGAGGAGTATTTTCTAAGATTCAATGTTAATATTAGGATGCCACTAATATTTTGGTCATTTACGTCGAAATTAGTATATCATAAATTGTCTAAAACTTGATAAGTTGCATTATACACAAACTGATACGTATTAAATATGATTATCCTTTCTAAACAGAGACGTGAGCCAATGAACATTGATCCAATCACCTCTAATGTGGGCAGTCTTTCAATAAGATGCATGTGAAGGAAAAACAACATAGGAAGGAAAGTTCAAAATCATGGGATGCCCAAATTGACACACACCTACGTAAAAGGAAGACAATTCCATCATACTCTAACTAAATAACAAAAGGACTTTTTTTGAAAAAAAAAAATAAAGTGTTATACCTAAAGGTCCAAATATGCGCAAGAAGTTGTCAACTTCAACCAATGACATAAAATAAAAAATGTTTAGAAAGCGTAATTAGACCAACCACCAAAATAATAAATTACTACTTCCCATCTTAATTATAAGAACTAGTTAACTAATTTGAGTAGATTAAGAAAATAAACTAAGTTAGTTATTTGTAATAAATAGGTGTTGCCTTTTCTAAAATATTCTTACTAATCAAGTATATTGAATAGAACTATTATTATTAGAAGGACTACCTTGAAAAAAAATTTATAAATATAAGAGATAGAGTGAGTTGAAATCTTATATTTAAGATTAAAATAAAAATCAAATAAGATCTCATATTAAAGATCCGAACTAATATAATACTAAAAAGGTGAGCCTTCCTTCGTCTTCAATTCACGGGTCAGGTGGAAACGGAATTCTACAGAGCTTAAATTACGAAAAAGTCCTCATGCTTCTTCGAACTGCGGTCCCTGTCCCCGTAACCTTTTTGTAATTTCGTCTTAATATTGTTTTTTCCCCCCCGCTCTCGTGAGATCGTTCACCTGCGGTCACATCCCGCCCCTAAGGAATCAAAACTGCAAATCGCGTAACGACCTTCCGAAATAATACTTCTTTAAGCTTCAAAGATCGAATCTTCGCTTCAAGTGCTTCCTTTTCTGAATCACTCCCTGTTGATTTCTCGTCTTAGCTTTTCAATGCTTCTGTTGAATTGAATTGCACTTGCTGAAAAAATCGATACCTGCATTGAATTTGATGGCAGTTGGAGTCCCCCAAAAATGGGGGATGTTTGGATTCTGGTGCTGTGTTTTATCCATCGCAGTTTGTGCGAGGGTTTGTGCTCCCGCCAGATCGGAGAAGGAAGTACGAGAAAGGTTCTACGGGAGTATGCCAAACTCATCTTCATCGGATCCTGGTGATGGCAGCTTGGCTAAAATGTTCGATCGTGTCCTTGAGAAAGAATTTTCCGAGAATGACCAGCCTGAAGGTTTTTATTTTCTCTTCTAACTGTGCTATTTCATAATTTTTTACAATGATCTTTGACCTGGGCCTGGAGCTATTTCCTTTTTTGCTTATTGCTTCTCCGTTTTTCATTTTTTGTGAACTGCTTATTGGTTCGGGAGAATAGAGCACAAAAGTAGTTGATCTTTTGTTTGTAATTTTTCAAATTATATAAAAAATAATTGTATGCATTAATCTTTGCTCTTAAGGCGAAATCAGAGTGCCAGGGTGAAACTTCCTAGTGTAAGACGTGGTTTATTCGGTTGTGTTGAATGAAATTCTGGTGGCATCGAAAGGGCAACTTGTCTGCCCCTAAAATACTCAACCGATCAGCTAGCGGAAGTAATTATGCATTTCAACTTAGAAAAAATTTGCCTTGTGGGAAGGTGTTCCCGCAGGTGTACTTCTATATGGTGCATAAGCGTATCTACAAAGCAGCATGGTTTAGGGAGTTACCACACTTGACCATAGCATCTAGATAACTAGATTTGCTCCATGTTCTTGGAGGCTTGACATGGTTGGGATGTTAGTGAAAGCTGCTTTTTGGATTTTTTTATTTTTATTTTTTTTTTAAGTTTCCTTATTTTTCTGTTCTAAGCTAGGTGTTGCAGGATGTGTGGTTAAATGAAAATCTCTCATGCCCAAATGTCATGAAAACTTACATAGGCTGTGCTCGATTGTCAATTTCCCTTCCCTAACGTTGTTCTATGCTTGTACTGGTGGGTATTCGTTAGGTGGTGAATCGTAGCATTACGTTGTGTTTTTGGGAATGAATGACATGATAGCATTGTCCTCTACATACTATGTTTAATTTTATTTCTCATTCCAGACTCATCTAATTTTCTTGGTTCACTGTCCATAACATAAATCATCTGGCTCATAAAGCTGTTTGAAGCATTGTGAATGGATTTTAATTATTCTCTTCCATCTTTGCTAGGAGCTGATAAGAGTAGCTTCAACACTACTGTAGCTGATCAACAGGTACGCCTATTTTTGTGTGCATAGTTTGCACAGATATTTTGTGCCGTAAATTGTTTTAGTTATAGATCGTAGAGGGAAAATGCATTTTATTATGCAGCAAAATAATGTTTTCATTGCCATACGCTGGTCAATTTAATATAACAAGCCCCATGAAAAGGAATTACAAAAAGAAATGTAAGGAGAGATGCCTCCATCTCTGAAAGTTGGTTGTTTCGTACAGCACTTGTACTGTGTTTGTCAAATCTTTGCCCCTCACATTCATTTTGTGACAGTTTATTGCCTTTCGTGTCTATAGTGAACAAACGTAGTCTTCTGTTGATAGTTGAGCTATGTTATTGTTTACGTAAATGTGAGTTATAGACATTTTGGTCATATTTTGCAGGCTGTACTGGAGACTGTAGCAAAGATTACTCACGATAAAGGCAAGAGAAATGATACTCAGGAGGGAAAGTACGACTTGTTACTAATAAATTAGTCATTTATAATGGGTGATTAGATGTAGTTTTCTTGAATTACCAGAAGGCCTTTTCTCTTTTATATTGAATTTCCCCCCCTTATCAGTGCTACCAGATCATTTCAATTTCAAGACGTGTTCTCCCTGGAGAATGAAGATTCTGATGATGCAACAACCTTGATTGACAGAAAGGTGTTCTGACTTATGATGCAAAGCCTTGGTTGATTGTACATTATGCTTTTAGTTTATTAATTTTCATCCGACTCATCTATTCGTTTATCCTACTGTGTGGCAGGACAATGTTTTTGTGATGTCAAACAAGAAATCCAAATACCCAGTACTTCAGTTGGATTTAAGGTTGACATTTATTATGATTTTTTGCTTGTAATTTATTTTAAATAATAGAATGCTCTAAAAATTCAGATATAATAACTCTGGTAAAATGCTAGATTTCTGGGCATGTTTTTTGCCCCCTTCCTTTTTGGAAATAATTTTCAGTTGTTGATGGATCTGAATGGCAATTTAATCCTATGGTAGGTAATTTTGTTTCAGTATCGGTCCCCATCAAGAAAATTGTGCTGAATGGAAAAACCAATACTTCCTCCTATTACTTGTTTTTGTTGGGCTTATGTCTTTGGATCTTGTCTTTGCTAATTGTGCTACTTCTAAGTGAATGGTAAACATCGCTTGTTAATGCCCTTTATTTTCATAATTCTTGGTTATACTGCTGTTTCCCCACTCTTTTTCACCCTGAGATCGATCTGTAATATTGGACTGCTTCAAATTCATGCAGGCTAATATCAGATTTGGTGGTTGCGATAGTTTCTGCAGCCATTGGTGGAATTCTCTTTTCCTGTTTGGGCCAACCGGTCTGTATTTTGTTACAATAGCTAATTATTGCATCTGGGGCTTTTCATTTTTATATTTTTAGTTGATTGCTGATCCAACATTTTCTAGTACTATATTGATATATTTGATTGTTACAGAAAAATGTGATCTATAAAATGGGAATGCTATGGTTCAGTCTTCTAATATCTTGCCCATATTGTAGGTTATTGTGGGCTATCTCCTTGCTGGCTCCCTTATTGGGCCTGGGGGATTGAATTTTATTAGTGAAATGGTACAGGTAAGTCATTAAAACGTCACTTCAGATCATCTTTAGCAGAAGTAATTTAGCTGTGACTATTTCTTTGATATGCCCAGTTTGGTCTCTCCTGTTTTTAAAATTTATGGCTCATAATTTCTGTT